CCCCCCCGTCGCTTGTCGGCATGCACCACTTTTGGTTTACCTCGCCGACCACCTTTTACCCGGAAAGTCACGTCTGAGAGACGATCCACTATGTCATATATATATCTCGTATATATCTAATAGTCTCCCGACAATTCACGAAGGAACAGGATATTTCTAGAAGGAAGTGGCGTGATACTAGTTACGTGACCTCGCTGACGCAACAGATCCCTTGCACTCTTGCGATTAACATTCGAAACACTTGCATCTGTAAAAATATTATGATCGCTGGCATGCATAGGCGCCTAACTTTATTTGGTGGGGGAGGGGGCTAGGGTAAAGAAGAACTTTCGAGAAAAGGAATATATATTATTATTTTGCCCTATTTAGGCATCTATGGTGGCATGTGATAAGTCAGTTGAGTGTTTGAGTCTTATGAATGCAGATCTGTAAAATTGAGCAGACAAATTTATGAGGCATTTGACCCTACTCATGACGTTCAAACAACGATAGGTGCTAGTGGTACTATAACGGTACGTGAGTGTTTTCGTGACTCAAGAGAGCGATCAAACCCACCACAAGTTCCAGATTTCAACAACGATCAGCTGAGGCTTTTCAAATATGATATTTTAACAACCGACAGCCATCTCTTAACCAGTACAGTAGCATACATTGGAACATTTTTTGGGATGAAATCGCATGTCGTATTGTCTCTACATCTGTGAATCAGCTTTTGTACTTTCTGTAGGAAACAAGACACCTTATAGTGTTATGCAGTTTTTATACCACATTGAGTTCATGTTGTTTTATTGCGGTTAAACTTGGTTCAGTCCTATATTGGGTGGGGAATAAATGTGTATAAATGCACATATATATACAGTATAGGACAGAAATTTGGTGTAAAAATCGCATTGTACTTGTAGGTATGATACTGGCTTTGCTGATGCAATATCTCGTGCCAATAAATTTAATGGTCGTTAAAAAAATGGTGTATTTACATAAAATATTCATACTAGTAAATGATGAAAGTTGTTTACCCGCAGTAATAAATTCAAGTCACATTACCAATATCAAATGACAGTAAGCTTCTTGCAAATCCTTCAATATTTATTATATTTCAGACAACGTGACGAAGCAAGTAATGATTGTGAATAATGAAAAACGTAGACTCACTGAATTTAGAACTTACGTACTTAGTTGAAAATCAAACAATTAAAATCTGGGTATGGCCTAGTGACTAACGTGCTGTCTGTGGATCCGAGGGTTCATGGTTCGCACCCCAATGCTATAAAAAAACTCCTTTTTCGTTTTGGATGCGTTATAAAAGTGGAAAGTGATGGTTAACTCCCACTATTCGATAAGTGTAGCCCAAGAGTTGGTGGTAGGTGCTGTTGAGTAGTTGCTTTTTTTTTTAGTCTATCAGTTCAAAA